CCTAAGTTGTGTACAACTTCTCTTTTTAGTTGATCTTATGTGATGCACGCGCATTTTGGATATTAAATTTCTTTTCTAGAAGGATCTTTCTCGTATATCTTCGTTATTTGATTTAACTCAAGGGTAGGTCACCAGAATATTAAATTCAGAGGGTTCTGATATATTGTGTAGTTAATTAGCCACTATAATTGATTTTTTAGGTGAATTGAATTTTCCTAATTTAGTCTGTGTAAATTGTTATTGCATCATCATCATCATCATCAATAATAAATAAGAATACTTTTCTTTCCAGATACAGATGCGCTCTAGAATTAATAGCATATTGATAAGAATAAGAATCTTTTCAATTTTATTCTACTTTTACTAGGTTTTGTTTGACAAATTTATAAATCAAGTTATAAAGATTAATAGCAGTGGTTATGAATGTACGTTTAAAATTAATATTTGATTTTGATTGAATTTATAAATTGTGTTTAAATAAATATTGAAAAAAAAAAAAAGCATTTACCTGTTTTCAACTGACCGAATTGATAATTTTACATAAGGTTTGTTGAAATTGAAATGCGCTAGGTGTTATTAGGTGTGAATCCGAAAATTCTCAAGAACATAAAAATACCGTTCACAAGCTTGACCATTGAAGATTGAAAGATAAGTCATAGATTGAGTTCTAATGCTTAAATCTATTGTGTGAGGGTGCATATATTTGGATCAATGTTCTAAGAAGTGCGTCCAGACGTGAAACTTGATCTTACAACTTAGTCACATTTTATGTTTTTTTAGAAACTGATTTGGAGTGAATCGCTTTAAAGTATTTATTGGTTATTGGTAAAGTCCGTGTATGAAATAAGTAGACATTTGTATTTTTGAGTCACGTGCATACTATTCTCATATTGAAAGACTAACAAATCTCCTTGCGTTATATAGCATGTTAGACAAACTTTACGCTGTGTCAATGTTCATAGAAGTCTTTGTCAAGGTCAGCAAATATAACAAATAATGTACCGTGATTAGCTTTTTAGATTTAGTCGAGTTGGAATTTCTTGTATCATAAGCTTTAGGTACACTGTCAAATTTAGGGCTTGTTCGATACATATTTTCTAAAATCATTCTCACACCAATCATTCTATAAGATTCAAAATCTTTTCCCACTTTTCAATTACACCGTTAAAAAAAATAATAAGAAAATATATTTTGCGTTATGTCAATTAGAGGCTACATATTTGACGTCTTACTTCCTAGTCAATTGTCGTGGATATACTATGTCCCTGACTTTTAATGATACAATGAGCTTCCACGGTTTTCATATATATTAATTAATTGCCGGTAAGTGATTACAGAGATTAAACAATTATTATAAAATTTGAAAAAAAAAAGGTAGAAAGATTCTCCTAGGATACAATTTAAGACCTCGAACATTTTTTAGTGCTTAAATTATCCCCAACTTGTATTTATGGGTCCCATACTCCCATTTACCCTATGGTTCTAGGAGCTAAATTGAATGAAGAAAATTGCACCACGGCACTTCAACTCATAACTCTCAATGCAATTTCGTCATATCATATTCATCTCTTCAAATCCGTAGCCTCGATAACTTTTACTAGATGCTTTTTAAAAATAGAAATTCTCTTAGAATTGATTTGAAAATCGACGAAAGAAAAACTGCGTAAAACTAATATAAGAGATCATTTCTATATATTATGGAAAAAAAATGTCACGTATCTCTGACATGATCAACTATCTTGAAACGTACATTTTTAATTGTTTCAAATAAGAATAAAGAAATAAAGCCTAACTAATTCAAGCCAACTCGATTAGGCTTTGATTATGAAAGTCAATTCAAAGAAGCTAATGGTAGCCTCTAACCCTAGCCTTAGTTAATTAATTTGTTAATCAATTAATCCTTATTAAGGAGATAAACATCATTGTACCATTCCTTCTTGGTCCCCATGGATGACCAAGTTTTTAGTTGAAAGTAGTTTACTCACTTTGACAGCTAGCAAAAACCAATTTCAATGAAAGGGATAATTTAATATAAGGATTTTGTTACATGTATATCAAAATTTATATAAGGGATTACATAATGTCACGGGTATTCTATCATTTCTCAGTTTAAAATACAATAAACTTTTTCTTCCAGTTTTTTCCTTCTACATCATATTATGTAATTCATTATGTATATTTTTTATGTACAAATAGCAAAATTCTTAATATGATATCATTTAAGGTCTTGAATTTAAGTACTTCTAATTATAAAATATTAAATATTAAATCAATGAATTCAACCCGCAC